ACGGACGTTTGTTGTTTGTTTTATTAGTTGAATTGCAAAAATTTTTTTGTAGATACGGTCAGTGGCGGAGCTAGCAATTATTTTCATGGGGGTCAAAATATTATTTTCATGGGGTCAAATATAGAATTTTTAGCCATTTGATATGACAAGTTATATAACTAAGAAGAATTATTAGAAAAATTATAAATTTTGTGGGGGTTAACTGACCATCCTACCCACCACGTACCTCCGCCACTGGGTACGGTTTATTACTTTATTTCAATGAAGAAAAGAAGAAGATTCCATCGTTAAGTGGTATAAGATTTTAATGCTTTTTCTTTATTATTGTTTTCTCTTCTTAGTTTGTTGGATTCGAATTCATATATGTAGAGCTTTTATTCATAGGTACATGATTTACCTAATGATTTTTTTTAAAGCAGGAGAAGAATCATCTACCTGAAAGGTATTACGGTCTCTTTAATGGCGTTTCTTTTTGTTTTAGTAGATTTTTTTAGTTCAATTCTAAATCGAATTTAATAAGGCTCTATTTTGTAGTTACATGTATTACTTCAAGACTCTTTTTTAGAAGGTAGAAAGATCTAACAAATGCATTAAAATATGCATATGTAACGTTCTCAAAAAAAATTTCGAGAGGATAAGATGATGGTTTCAGGGATGATTTTATTCATGTGAAACCATTTGGTTTTGTTACGACTCTAAAATCTTAATGGGGTTATTTAGAAAAAAAAAAGGGGAGACTTAGAAACCCTAGATAATCTGCCATATGCCTTTTAGAAAAGATTTTCATTTTGTTAGCTATGTTATCCATGATCAAGTCTTTCTTTCTTAATTTTTACACCCTGAATGAGTCATTATTGTTGGTTATATCCAGACTGATCTCTCTATGTTTGTGTTGTTTACAGAGTGATTCTAGTTTTTCTTTGATTTGTTATTTTTCTGGAAAAAGAAACATGTTTATCTTCGATGCATCTGATGTTAGCAAAGAAACATTATTTGATCGGTCTAATCTACGTTCAAGCTTCTTTTGATTGTTTGTTTGTTTCATCGTATTATTCTTATTATGATTTCAGTGCTTACCGAGTGA